CCCGAGTTTGATTCCCAGCTGTAGATACCGTCAGTGTGGCACATGGTATTTGAACTTGTCCTGGGCCTCCTCTAGGTTGACTTAGGCTTAAATGAGCACTTGGTGCAAGTGTATGAACATCATCATCGGGGAGACAACGTTGAGCTTCAGCACCTGCACGATGCCTGCTTTAGGAGGTGCTTGCTCACAGCATTTGACCTGGCAGTCTATAAGGTGATACAGATGACCGTTGTATTTGTGAGCATGGATATGTATGTGGGGAGTGGTGGTGCAGCGGTTAGCGCGTTGTGCTACGAACCTGGCGACCCGAGTTCCATTCCCGCTCACGGCCAACACCGGTAACGATTATCTGAACCGGTCCTGGGCCTCCGCTGGGTCGACTCAGCCTCAAATTATAACCTGGTGCGGTGCGTAAAAACATCTCCACTAGGGAGACAAAGGCGGTCGGGCGTGTTGCTGGCCACCCCACCTCCTCATGTCGTGCCGGCCTTCATAGGTGCTCGCTAACAGCACTTGCAGCGAGAATCTATTCAGGATATATGCAGGGATCTTCGTCTTTGTGTCCGTGTCTATGCACGTGCAGGGCTCGGTGATTATTGTAATGCATAAAAAATATATTTAATCACAAAAATACTTAAACTTCAGCTCTGTACAACCTCCATCCTGGATCCCAAGGCCTAAATCCAGCCCCACTAGGTCACTTTGCAAATACCAGCAGTAAGCATTTGCTCTCTCGGCACGGCATGCAATAGTTGGCGACGATTACTCGGCTAGGGTGGCTGTGGCCAGATTAGGCCCGCGGTCAGGAGATTAGTGCACTGTTCTGTACAATTTAACTTGTAAGCTGGATAAACACCCGACAGTCCATCTGCAAGGCATTAAGACTGAGTTCTGTGTACATTGAGGCAATGACATGGGAGCTGTTTGTGTTGTTTTAGTTTTGGCTGAATTTTACAATAAATTCTCTCAGCCACGGGCATTTTTGTAACAGCTCACTAATGCTGTGCGACGTTTTTTATTAACTTATGAAATGAACATTGAAACATTTTATTTGATTACACTCGCCAGTCAGTGCACAACACATGGGAGCAAATCATTGTTGAACCGAGCTGCTAGCCAACGGAAGATTGCGAGTTTAAATCCTCGTTGGGAGTTGGTTCAGCCCACAAATCTAATTGGGGGGTCGATAAAATAGTTACCACTTTGTGGAACAAGTAAACAATGGATGTCATGTGGATAGACTTGCCCTCAACATAATAATGTGGCATTTCCACCACTGGGACTGTGAGCAGGCGGTGAGCACCCCTCGGTGCTCATTTGAGGTCAAATCACTTCGACTTTTTGTTAAACAAAAAAAATCCCACATCTTTAAGCTTAACACTGAGGAAAGTCAGCCAGATATTGCATTGAAATATTGTTCGTCAAATTACAGTACAACGCAATACAATGTCCAGTCCAATGACCTATTGAGCACTTCTTGGAGAAAGGGGAGAAAACACGTTTAAATAACCAATTGGCTAATTAGGACAATTTCCAGAGTTTGCCGATATATCCTGGTCCAATCCCTTAAGCAAATGAGAAACAAAAACAAATTGTGATGATCAAGAATCGTGGAGATTTTTTTCCATTTTGCCATAACATTACAGGTTAATATTTGTGTCTGCCAAATGATAATATGGCACCATTAAAAATAACTTAAGTCATGCATAATTCCTTGTAGCTCAGTGCAGGCTAGGTAACACAGCAGCTTGGCATACAGTTGTCGGATATTGAGGCAAGGATGCTTTAAGGGAACATATGACTTCAGAGTTATTAACAGTGACAGGAGCCTTCTGTTAAATATTATATATGAAATACAGTATTACAGTTAAGCAGTACTTTTGGCACAAGCAAATGATTGAAACATCAGGTATGAAATCTCCAACGAATGTTCATGCACCAGTTCCCCAGATTTATATGCCCTAGCATCAGGTGACATCTCTTGGCCAGGGGCCAAACTGAGTCATGAGATCTGTAGCCAGCGTGCTGCAATGGTGGGAATACACAGCTGTTTACTATTGTTATAACCAGTTCGCCTTCCCTGTCCCCGGGGCAGCTGACACCAGCTGCCCGTCTCGTCGTGTATCGATGACATTGCGGTTCCGGTACCTTCCGTGTGACTTGCATGAAGTTCTGATGACGCAATATAATCTTCTTGTTTCTTTCGGTAAAGTCACGTAGAAGGGAAATAATAAAATAATGAAAATAAAACATTATGAAATAATTCTCACGACGTTTCGGCCACAACGCAAGCAGCCGTCCTCGGGTGAAGAGCGGGTCTGTCGGAAAGACGGCGTCATTCAGAAACGTCGTGAGAATTATTTTATTGTGTTTTATTTGTATTATTTTGTTATTTCCCTTCTACGTGACTTTACCGAAAGAACCAAGAAGATGAATCCCTGCAGTCACGAAAGCTTTAAATCGAGATGCAATATAAATTACGAATTGCCACGAGGCTAAATGTATTGGGACGGATTTTCATAATTTAGGGCCCTTTGTCAAGCCACTGCTAGATTCCGGCTTTCATATGAGGTGGAGGGGTTACCATACTTCACCACACTGGTCAGTGTGGGTCAGTGAAGGTGGGGGGCAGCCAAGGTCGGTCAAGATATCGCTCGCTGCTAAGAACCGTACCACCACTCCAGCCAGGTTGCCTTGAATAATTATTAATAAATTGACGAATTTTGACTTGAAACTTTCGTGACTGCAGGAATTCATATTCTTGGTTCTTTCGGTAAAGTATTTTTTTTCTATCTACGTGACTTTACCGAAAGAACCAAGAAAATTGACGAATGTAATGATGTGCCGGTGGAATTTAAAAGATATTGTAATTTTGCCGATAAACTTGACCCCTTGAACACAATTTATAAAACTAAAAATAAATATAACATGGGGGGATGATGCCCACAATTGGAATATTACAACATTAAAATGCATTGTGCAGTATCACCTTAGAGCGAGTAAAGTTTGACGTTGATTGAACATCGTCCGCGACTGCAATTAACGATGGCTAAATGACGTTGATGAATGCTACTTTTCACAGAAATACTTCCACACAAGAAGGATGGTATCGGCACGAGCACTTAAAACATAAACTCATGTTCGTGTAAACGGCAACAATCATCGGCATTATATTCAACCATTTTATATCCACTGTTTGACGAATCCCCCCCCCTCCCTCGACACGACACTGTCGGCTATAATCACAGTACCTTGATGCCACAATGCATCTCACTCCTGCGTATCAACTGACGCTATTGCTCGATCTCCTTGGTGGTTATCCTCTTGGGCATGTTTACTCCTTTTGGCTGCCGTTCTACCACCAGCCTTGTCAAGTGGCGACCGTCGATTCGAGTGATGGGTCTAAGTCCAAGCCCACTTCTTGAAATCAATTGCCTCTGCTTTGCATTTGTCCCCTGTTCCATGCGCTGTTCTTTCTGTCGCTTTGTGTAATCCTGTAACCGTATTTATATTTTTACGCCTGTTTTTAATTTGTGCCTAAGGACTATTGTTTATCTTGTTGCAGTGTCCTAGCAGGAGTTGTTGTTGGTTTTGGTCTTTTTGTTCGTTTGCACGTTCCCAACATGCAATGTCCCGTAACTGCCACCATTGCTGACAGTCTTGGGCTCTGGTTATCCTTGTAACAAAGCTGCTGAGCTCAATAGGCATTACCAGCTGAGATCAAGTCTGAGTTTTAATTCAATTTCTCTATGCATCTTTGGCACATTTTTCATATTTTCTTCCACTTGTTTTGACATTGTCAACGTTTCAGACCCAATATGCACTGATTGAAAACGTTTTATTTAGGTGCACCAGTATGCTGCTTTTCATAGTCAAATAAAAATTTACAGAAGTATTCCATCATGATCTTGTGTGCTTGTTTATTTTATATATTTGATCCTAATGTGCTTTTATTTATTTATTATTTGCCCAGGTATTTCGCTCTATTTTAATGCAGTGTCCCTCCAACAATTAGTTTTACTTTGTTGAGCAAACATGCTGTTTAACATACTTTTAGTTTTTTCGTTAAAGTCACGTAGGTAAAAAATTAAATTAAAATTAATAAAAATAAAATAATAAAAATCACGACGCTTTGGAAGCAACACAAGTCTCCCTCATCGTCGTGATTTTTATTATTTTTTTTTTATAAATTTTTATTTTATTTTTTACCTACGTAACTTTACCGAAAAAACTAAGAGTATGAATCCTTACAGTCGCGAAAGCTTCAAATCTAGAAAATTCTGTTTAACAACATTGTATATAATGATTTAAAAAACCCCAATCGACAAATACACATCACATCATAAAATACTGTCAAATGTAGCACTATGCCAGCTACACATCGGACACTACCGTTTAACACTGGGTGAAGGGGTAAATGTAATGAAACACTACCTACAGTTTACTGCGTTTTTCAAGGTTGTGGAGAGAGCTCTTGAAGACAATGGGAATCTGTCAACTCGATTTGGAGCCTGGACCCAGCATTCTGAGCCATGAATGTGGATTTCTCAACGTGACCTCGGTGGGCCAATGTGATCTAAAAGATACAGCGAGTTGGTCTTAGGGAACATTGTGTGGAATTCTGTCAAAGGACATTCATTGCATGGACACACATAACTCATGCCAGCAACATCATGTGCGTCGTATATAAAAGGTTTAAAAAATAATGTGCAACTACAGATTCGCACAAAGCCGAATGTTGTATTCGAGCTGGCTGAATTTGAGTGAATGTTCTGCACCCAGTGCACTTGTGCCATGGCATGTGCCCTTAAGCCCTGACACGGATTCTTAGAATTGGCCAATACAATCTCTTATAAGCAACTTTTTTTTTTTAAATCAAGGCAGACGGTTGTGGCATTTAATAATCCACTATTATCCAAGATACTGTTTCCTTTTTTGTAGTTGTAAAATGAAAAGCAAATATATTGTTCTGCCCCTTTACCATTTCTTGCCTCTTGCAGAACCTTAAAGAGCGACTGCTGTTGTCTGCTCGGAATTTTCTCAACAAGTATTCTTGCCGATATCACTCGGAGATAAGTATAACTGTTTTATTCCACTGTCAATCAGAGGTGCTAAAGGATTCACTTAATTTGTGGCAAATTAAAAAATGCGACCTATACATTGAACACTAACACATTCCCCAAACATAATTAAACGTCACCGAAAATATGCAGAATTTGTCTTCCGTGACGTTTAATTGGATTGTTTTACTTCCCATGTGCAGGCAATGTCTTTAAAATAATCCACGAGTGAAAACCCTCCCCCACACCCTGACGAACTCGATCAATTAAAAATATATGGGAAAGGTATATTACATTAAATAAATACGCAAATAAATTGTGTTAATACTCTAATGTTTTATGATTGTCACATGCACTTCAACGTACACTAAGTTAAGAAATTTGTTAAAGGGAAACCATTTTTCTATTTTTTTTAGTTCAATAAATTAACACTACCCGCTTGTCGTCCGACCATATCAAAGCTGACAGGTATTAAAGGATGCATGTTCTGCAAAGTGCCATGTGGGTTAAACCAGAATTAATTATTTCCCACAAGATGTATTACATGTCGCTCTTAAGGAAATAAGGAAGCACCAGTACACGATTGCCAAAAAAGTCAAATGAATGGGCCTTTGAACTCGAGGCAGGCGCAGCAGTTTATACAATTGTGCTTAGGAAATGGAGCTCATGCTACATCACTCTTACAAATAAACAGCGCCAGTTGTTGGCTAATGGGGCTAAAAACGCACTCCAATTATAGAAACGTATGGGTACAATGCACCAACAGTGGTGATGCCACTGATTGCCAAGACTGCTTGAACATAATGTTTGTTTGTTTTCTTTATTTAGTATTTATTGTTGTAATATTCGTGCTAAGAGTTTCCTAATGGCCTAGAATGAACCACACACACACACACATATACGTCCAATAAATCTGGATGCATCTCTGTTACGCTTTTTGTTACTTCCTACTTTTTTTGTTGCAGACGTCAATCGAAGTTTTGTGATGCTAAATCGTACGTTGTTGCAGATTAAACATGCTCGCATAAAATGCTTAAAACAAGACAGAAGTATTGGCTGCCGAAGCATAAAGTAACCCGTAAGGTCTTTGGAAGTCACAAAAGCTTTTTTTTGTGGTCAGAGACAAAGCCAGTATGAAAGGGGCTCATAGTCAGCCACCGGTGGCCTTCACTCAGCTTTTAGCAAACAGGCAGAGGCACTGGCTTTGCGGGGAGGGATATCATATTACCACCAGCTGCAAATCACAAGGTGGGCATTTGCCACAAACACACATGGGTGGTCAACAAATACATCCCTGATGCCGAGGCAGTTTTCTTCTCCCATTATCTCACAACAATGTCGCGTAGGACAATCTGTAAATGCGTCCTGGTGTATTGCTTGATTGTAGAGGAGACTTTTACAACGCGGTGTGTGTTTTTTTAGAAAACAAGATACATCGTATTCAACCAAATTCTGTTTCACACCACTCAGGTCTCACACCAACTGCCAATGGACAGCCTCCATCATCATGAGTGGCAAGGGAAAGAGATTGCTCCACATGCTTCCACTCTGGCCAGATGGTTTGAAGAGGATGCGAGACCTACCATTTACTCCACCACAAGCAGTCTGGCAATAACAGATGAAGAAACCTGGCCTCGGTCTCAATAGCCTTGATCTGGAGGTCTGGATTCCGTTTGCCAATGCATACACAAATGCCCTTCCTGTGTTAGCGTGCTCACAGTACTTTATGAGCAACTTAAACTGACCTTAAGAAGATGGATACGTTCATTTTTAGCAACAGCACCTTTAAGATGCTTTGCCAAAGGGAGTGGCCTCGCTTTGCTTCAGCTGGTTAATCTGGTAATAACTCGAACCAGGTCAGGTAATCAGATAATTGTCGGTAATACTAGACCCATGCTGGAGATAATGGTCACTCCCTCGAGAATATCTTAGGAACGCTTTCCAGAGACTGTGTTTGCAATCAGACAATATCCTGCAGAAATAAGCCTCTAATTGTCATTAACGCGACTGAAACAGAAAAACAACCCGCCAACAGTGTCCGTTTAATAGTTTCGCAAAGAGACACCTGTGGTGTGTGTTTTCGGAAGTTTTGTTAGCATACCTAGCATCTTTATTATTATTCCTGGTTCTTTCGGTAAAGTCACGTAGAAGGGAATTTTATTTTATTTTACTTTGATTTGTATAACATTTTCTATTTTATTTTAATTTATTTTTATTTATTTTATTATGTTTATTTTTATTATTTCCCTTCTACGTGACTTTACCGAAAGAGCCAAGAATATGAATCCCTGCAGTCACGAAAGCTTTAAATCGAAATTTTTACCTCGCATTCTCAAGCGTGTTTATCATTCAATTATTTCCAGCAGAAATAAGGAGAAGTTGACTTTACAGTTCTCAGAATACCGAATATAGGTCAAAACAACTGTTATTGTTCTAGATTTGAAGCTTTCGTGACTGCAAGGATTCATATTCTTAGGTTTTTTCGGTAAAGTCACGTAGGTAAAACATTAAAATTTATAAAAGTAAAATAAAATAAAAAATCACGACGTTTCGAAGGCAACACAAGCTTCCGTCTTCAGGTGGAACCGTCACAGCCTCATTCACTTGATACAGCTGTCGTGCTGTGACGGTTCCACCTGAAGACGGAAGCTTGTGTTGCCTCCGAAACGTCGTGATTTTTATTTTATTTTACTTTTATTAATTTTAATGTTTTACCTACGTGACTTTACCGAAAAAACCTAAGAATATGTTATTGTTCTATTGTAAGTTAGACCCCTCTTTATTATTTTGATAATTCACTACAATATTTATATCACACGAAGCATTGTTAACGGTCTTAAATTATGATAACAAATGTGTCAATAGCACTGCTCTCGAAGGAAAAAAAATGTATGTTAGGCGGCATTCCATAGCCGTCACCCTCCTTCGTGGACAAAATGTATCATACTGCAGGTGATGTTTTAGGTAATGGCCCTTTAACCTCTTAGGGCAGCGGTATTGACAAATGTGTTGAATTTGTGTTAATTGTGCGTGTGCACCACTGCCAATGCACTATCACAATTTTTCGATTTAAAGCTTTCGTGACTGCAGGGATTCATCTTCTTGGTTCTTTCGGTAAAGTCACGTAGAATGGAAATAATAGAGTCTGAATGACAGATCTGTTCTCCACCTGAGGATGGCTACTTGCGTTGTGGCCGATAATGTTTTATTTTTATTATTTTATTATTTCCATTCTACGTGACTTTACCGAAATAACCAAGAATATATCACAATTTTGTTGTTGTCAAATTATAAATGTTTTTGTATTTGATATTGCTTTTCACTATAGGTTAGCTTCTGAGAATATGTTTACCCTTTTTTCTGGCAACAAAACAGGTGTTAAGATGTTAAAACACCAAACTGAAACCTTTTAAAAGGAATTATGTTTGCATTAACCACAATACTTGCGGTCACAATGCAAACAAAAAACGTACTCTGATAATGTATGCATTGTCTTTGAAACTGATTGGTCCACACCAGAGACAGCTTTCTTTGGAGCCTCGTCTCAACAGGTATTAGACCAAAGGACACAGCACAAAGACAAGCAAGGGGAAAACCTATTCTCATAATTTGGTACTGGCAAAGGAGGTCCCATGATGAGGTTAGCTTCTGTTAACAATACACTATCCAATACATAATATCACGTGTGCATTTGGAATGCATGTACCGTTGCGTATGAATCACGCATCTTGTCGGATTGTCAAATTAAGTTGTGAAGGCGATGGAGTTATCCTGACTGATGAATTGTTCGACATGAACCACATTTAGGGTCACCAACGCAGCCGTGTGACTCGTGCAACATGTCCTGTATCATGTTTACACCAATCATGCGGTACAATGACACAGTTTACTGGCATTGATTGCCACACAGCATCACTGCTCCGTGATAAACGAGAACTGTTTTCTCAACAACACCGAATCCTTTCTAAAAGCAGTGGAAGTGCATTTTGTGCATTCAAATTTATATACACTTTGGATTTATACCGTACGTAGCTGGTCCCGGTGGTGTTTTATGGGATTATGCCAACCATTCACTTGCATGTCACTGCGTATGTCTTTCTACTGCAGTTATACAGCAACAAGCTTGTCTATCCGTCGGTATATGCTTAGCATTAAGTTTCGTAACTTTTTTCTCTTACAGCAGCTAATACATAGCGAATGCATCTCCACCTTTTTCCACGTGAAAAAAACAAACATTGCAACATAACCATGACAATACAACGTCACGTGTCTGCCTCACTCGGGATCGAGGTGTAGGCGGGAACTGTGAAAAGTGCCTTCATGGCCCCTTTACTCATCTTCATGCAAAAATGAGTTGATAGCACAAGCGAATTGGACCCACAAATGATGGGCTTTGCGGATAAGATGGTTGCCAAAAACACAAGAGTTTTGCGATATTAAATATCATTTTGTTGAGGAGCATTGCTCCAAATTAAGGTTGCGTTGTATCTGTGCAGAATTTGCGCGTTCGAGTGTTTTTTGCGACGAGGGTGGCGATTTATCATTCCCAGGCATGAAACCTGTCCCGGGATTCAGGGTGTCCAGAAATAGACACGTATTCGTGCATAATTGGTTCCAAGGCTCGCTGTTCCTGGAACGCCTGTACACCTTGGACATTCTGAAGCCATATTCTTTGGGTCTTTCGGTAAAGTCACGTAGATAAAACAATAAAATAATGAAAATAAAAATAAAAATATTTTAATTATTATTTATTATTATTATTATTTTTTAGTCACTTTCTTTTCATTTTCATTTTTATTATTTTATTGTTCTATCTACGTGACTTTCCCGAAAGACCCAACGAATATGAATTCCTGCAGTCACGAATGCTTTAAGTCAAGATTCTGAAGCCAGTCACCTGTCATCCTGTGCCTGATGGCAACGGCAGCTCAGGCAGCAGTGGGAGGGGTGCACACGGCAACTATTTCCTCCAAGACTCCCAGTGCACGTCCGGCTGTTCAGCACTCTCTTCTTTACCTTTGTGTGCGTGTGTCTGTGTTGTTTTTTTTTAAAGAAACATTAGCACGTCATTTGTCTTCACTTCTTTCGACTTGCAATGAAGAATCGCCTTATAATTCCTACCCATGCATGTTTTTTTTTTCGTCGTGAAAGTTTCAGCCATAACGCGGCCGGTCCCGTTTTGTATTTTATCCAGGATGTGCTGCGAGTTTTAATGCGTCTCCCATTCAAAATACCCTTATCATTGTTTGACACATTTATTTTTAATTGAGGCTGCCTTAAAAGTGTGCAGAAGTAAACAAAGAAAATAAATGCGTTTCAAAAAAAGTCCATAAATAAAATAGAAATCCTGGCAGTGGGCTGGTTTTCCCCACTCAATTATAATGAATAAAAATGTGCGAATTTGTGATTATTTTTCCCCAATTGTCAAACCTCTAAATATAAGTGGCGTGGGAATAGATTGTGCGATGCTCTTTCTTGAAGAGAAAATTGCTACATTTTAAAATAAAAACTAGTTTCAGAATGTTTTTGTTGCAATCTGCTTGCCTCTATTTTTTATTGATGCCAAATATAAATTGTCCTGTAGCGGAGGTGAGATGTTGTGAAAATTGGCAATAAATGTGATAACCGTAGCCGAACAACGCAAGACCACCCACAATTCTTTGCAAGCACCTTTAACTTTCTTCTTACAATTATTTACTGCCAGCTCATCCGAACGAAAAAAACAAAACATACCTCCTCACCTCTTCGCACGGAAGTAAACAATGTTGCTCAACAACTCTGTTTAACGTACATACGCAATTGACACCTCCGTCCGATGCGTTTTCAAGTACGTTGATGCCTTTTGATACGTGTAGAAAAAAAATACTACCCCCAGTGCTTTGTAACAAGAGGCGCTGAGATCGCTGTGTTTGACCAACAAAACACACGAGGGACTTGCATGTCGAATATGCCCTTGTATTGTCTGTCCCGTCTCTTCAGTGTCCGCTTAATCACGTGACGCTTACCCTCGGGTTTCAATGCGAGTTCACAGCTCAAACTGCAGTCACAGAACCGGACACCTGACACAAGATTCTCCCCTCATTGTGTCTGTAAAATTGACACAATGTCAGTTATTGTGAACTATATTGGATTTTAACGAGTTGGCTCACTTGATAATGGCACGGCTGAAAAGAATGCTTTTAAGTGGCCATTCCCACCTCGCCACTGGGATAATGTTAGCAGATGTATTGCACAGCTCCGCCTGTAGTAAAATGCACTTCTGGCAAACGAATGGTGCTTTGACTGCCATAAATGTGGAAGTCATTCTGGATTTATTTTAATGAGCTGGCTCAAGTCACTACTTTGTGTAAGAGTTGTTAGCTGTTATCCAACGACTCAAAACTCTGAACTCATCGATTCAGTTCGAAAGCATCACGATTTACAATTTATTAAGAGCTTATATGCTGTCATTTAATGTTACCTCTGCATTTCCCCTATGTAAACGATAAATAATTAGTTTTACTTATATTCTCCACCACGATGCTAATGATTCTTTAGAGTTAACACTTAATAATGTAAATTCTTCAAAAAATGTAATAGTGACTGTAAAGAACAATTCATAAACAATCTGCATGGACACAACGGTAAATAAATGTTCATATCAGATTCACAATGCTGTGAATCTGAAATGACCAGTAAACTATCTGTGACTTGCCAACTAAAATAAATGAATAAATAGGCTGACTATTCTGGGAGTTCATTTGGAAAGGCCTGGCCCCTGTGCAGGATCGCGAGCCGATGTAAGGAGGCAATCACTCCCAAAGGGGGTCGGTATTTCCTATCCCACTAACTAGCAAGGCACAGGCACATGCTCGGTATGTATGAATGTATCATACGCATATTGATTTGTCGGAAAGATGTTTGTCATTCCGCAAATATATCGCGACGACGAAAAGTAGTACAAGAGAAATCGATACAACGTAGGTTTGTCTGCAAACTTTACCTTTTTGAAAATGTAAGTATTTTTTTTTCTTAAAAGAGGGCGTGAAATGAGCTGAACAGTTGGGAAAATGTCTTCAAAGAGACACCTGTCTCTGGATGGCTAAATGAGAATGTTTCTCGAGAATTACCATCACAAAAATACCTTTTGATTGATTGAAAGATGTTTACTCTTTGGTTCTTTCGGTAAAGTAACATAGAAAATCAAATCAAATAGTAATAGAAGACGACGTTTCGGTTGTAACACAAGCAGCCATCATCAGGTAAGAATGAATGATACACATGCATGTGGGTCTGTCTATGTTGTTTCCGTGTCTGTGTTTTATCATTCATTCTTAGCTGATGATGGCTGCTTGTGTTGCAACCGAAACGTCGTTTTCTATTATTATTTTATTTTATTTTCTACGTCGTTGGGTATGAATCAAGATGAAGAGCCAGTGAAGACTGAAGGCCAGCGAGCTAGACCTGAAACTCCCCTGACTCGCCGTTCTTGTAAGGGCCGAGCATGGCAAGCCAGTGGTGCGACCTCAGAGCAGCGAGGTCTGATGTCCTTGTAAGGGCCAAACTCGTGTGGCTGAGGGTCAGAACCTGCGCCGAAGCTGGGCCAGGCTAGCGAGCCTACATTTGGGGAAGGTCTGGGATAGAGAGAAGTAGGGAGTTAACGGGGAGCGTTAGCTGGGGAACTCTTCCTCTAATAGACCGGGTGAAGAGGCCGATACCTCTTCGAGTGTTAGAGTCGTTACTCTGCTGTACTGAATTAAATTGTAATAAATACGTGTTGCCTCCATCAACTTCTCCTGCGTCACCTACGCAGTCACGAAAGCTTCGAATCTAGTCTGAAAGATGTTTGTTTTCAGCATCATCATGGAAGATGTTTAAGTGTCATTCAACTTTCAATGTGACCGTGATGGAGATACAGAGGCCAACAACACTGCCAAAGCTAGTTTAAGGATATGTTTTAAATGAAATAAGTAAATCTGCGGCCCTGGAATTTCTTCCTAACAGCACTGCTGGTGGAAGGGTTTCCATTCGAGGGAGCTCTCGAGAGGGATCTCTAGAGGGTATATTTGGTCTACTATCCCACACAGGCCAAATATCAGGGAAGACGTGGGAGTAGTCCCACATTTACCCTACCACTACACGTGACCTGCCAATTAACTAATTGTGCTCTACCCATTTATACTGCTGGGTGGATATGGGGGGAGATTTAATAAACTTGCACCATTGTTTCAACTGCTGCATAAAGAGATTGAACCAGTGACCTCCGTAGAGCTAAGCATTACACCACAGCAGCATTGAAATGGTTTCATATTAATTAGTTGAATACCAATGACTATTCAACCAATACAGCTAACACATTGTCTGCAATAGGTTGATGTGAACGTGTTGGCACTTTTATTATTATTATTGTTACTAGTATTGGCAGGATCACAGCATTTGTATTGTTTTGCATTGTACTCATCGTTCCCAAGATATCGACTAATATTGTGTATGGATGTTTATGAAAGACAAAACCAAATATTTTAACCGTTGTCGTTGATCTAAGAGAGCCTCACTGGAATCTTAACATTGTTTTTCAGGAGGGATGTTTGGCCAATTGAATGAGAAATTGCTCTCGCGAGGAATGTTGGTGGTGTATTTGCAAATCATCCTTTATCTTTTAACCCATAAACACGTGGGTCAGGAAAATTACCTCGTGGCGAAAAGCATTTGTCAAACCGCATTACCTAAAAGTACACCTGGTGGCACCTCCGATTTCCCGCACCTCCGATGGCTACGTACGATGCGAAAGAAGTGCATAGCTTGAGGCAAGCGCCGTGGTAATGTCACCGCAATTGAATTGGATAGATTCTCTCTTAAAGACGAAAGGGGCCAGATGCCATGTTCTCACAACCGCTGAAATCTGCGCAAGCTCCATTCTCACACGGGGGCCATGTTCCCATGGCAGCCGTATCAGGTTAACCCAACCCCAAGCGACCTCGTCATTCGGACTCTTGGGCATGGTTATCTTACCATGCCACAAGCTTGGAGCTGGGCATCCAGAACTCTCCGTGACGCCATGGGGTCAACGCGTAAGAGACAAGCACACTCAACTAAAACACTATTTCATTTTATTTTACCAGGTAAGGTCCACTGACCAATTTAGTTCTTTTTTTTTCAGAAGCGACCTGGTCACAAATGATAGCTCAAGGAAGTGGCTTATAATGTGGAAATGTATAGCAGCCAAATACTCTTAACGCACGTAGAACATGCAAACTACAAATATACATCAGGCGTCAGGGTCGGGATTGAACCCACGACCTCCTGCATACCAGGCGAGGTAGTTAACATCTCAGGCCCCACACGGTGACGTCACTCCCTAGTTGAACTCTGCCTGCCGTGTTTGTGTTGAAATTACACGGTGGAAAATGACAAAAATAAATAGATTTTAACTTGCAGTTATCTAATCTAACGCACGATTGCATTAAACTTTGTTTCAAACAAACTCTATTTACAGATTGCTTCCGGACTCCCTCCCTGTGTTCACAGGGAGTAGAGAGAGAGGGGGAGGGTGGAGGTGGCGAAGATACGAGCAGTAGGGGGCTGGGCTGATGGATCCCAATGGCTCAAAGAATGTCGGGACACAGGCCTGGGTCCATGCTGCTAATCCTGGGCCAGAAAAGGGACAATTCCTGGGCGAGCAAAGCCAGCTTTCCAGTGTTTGCATACACGAGGCAAAAAGAGGTGAAAATCACAAGAACCAATTGACATGAACGTGAACAGCAGGATCCGTGGAGCAGGTGTGTATTCATCTTCTTGGTTCTTTTGGTAAAGTCACGTATAAGGGAAGTAATAAAATAATAAAATAATAATTAAAAATAAAAATAAAACATAATAAAATTATATAATATAAATATATAATAAAATAAAATTATAAAATAATATTATTAAATTATATAATAAAGTATAATAAAGTATAATAAAATAAAATCATAATAAAGGTGTGTATTATAGCCTGCTGGGCCTTGCACAGATTGCACAATACCAACGAGGACCTCGGTTCTGGCTTTAGCGAGGTTTGTGATCCAGGTATGTCGTCTGTTCTCATCGCCACAGCTTTCCCAGTTCCAGCTCATTAGAGACTTGACAAAACCCGTTGTGTCGGCTCAGATTTGGAACTGGTTGGAGTGGGGGGGGGTGTGAGCGGAGCGGAGGGGGAGGTGGGGTGCTAAATGGGCCCAGAGTTAGCCACGCGTGACCTGCCGCTGCAGGCGAGCATGGATACTCACAGGTGGAAACTGGGGATTCTGTTTCAGCAATGACTGACGCAGGTGCCGACATTCCAATAACAGACAGCGGCAGCAGCCTCTCCGGCAGGCACAGCAGAAAGTTCGCATTGCCTTCGAAAGTGCTGATGGCCAGCAAATTGCCTGTACGCATAATAACATTGCATGTGATCATTATGACTGCGCCTGCCGACTTCCCACACCTATATATATTCATCTGCTGGCACAACAAAGCATACCCAATTAAAGCCATGGACATTAAATATAATGAAGGAGACGATATGAAATAAAGTTGCACATATAGAGGACTGATTAATACAGACTTTTTTTTATTACAATAAAATGCCTTGGGGCATTTTCTTCCATGTGTACCTGTACACAGCTTGCACAACTAATGACGATATACCCAAATGCTAAAATGCATTCATTTGCTGGTCCTCATCGACACTTTACAGTGTGCTTGAGCAACCAGGCCCAAGACGGAGCACGATACATACACATGACATTGATAGGTTTGACCTTTCTATCATTGGCCAACATTATGCTTATCCAAATCTCTTTCTTAAGACCATGCTTTACATATCACTTTTGACATTTCTGCCGAATGTGCCCTAGAGCTCAACACTTCGACAATGTCAAGTGAAACAAAAATCAACAGTGGCCTAAAGTTAAGGGGAAAAAAAACCTTGACCATTTACCTTTCATAAATACAACCGGCTGGCACGTTTACGAAACCCAACCACAATGCATTGTTAAACAGTAATGCACAAACAGAAATGCTTAGAGGTTTAGTCTTTATAATGTGATGCCCTTTGGAGCACTATTTGCAGTTATGATTTCGAAGTAAAGCACACGAATGCAATGTGTGGCTGACCTAGATTTTTTTGGGAGGGGGGGGGAGCATGAGGCATAATTAACTGTTTGATGATGGACAAAAAGCGAAAATTGTGTTTAAATTTAAAAAAGTACATCTAATCTAGTTCACAGCCTTTACTTGTTTTTGTATTCCTTGTACTTTTTTTTTTCAATAGTGCATACGATCACATCCAAACCGGTTTAGTGGGAACAATTCAGGACGTCAGTCACGAGGGAATATGATCTGCCAAAACAAGCTGCAGAAATCCCCACCCCACCACGCCCCACCTGACCCTCACTCCCACCCACTCAGCTGCCTTACTCTGACAGCGCTGCCAATACTCCCACAAACCTCCCCCGTCGTCTTCGCGGTGCCGCTAATGCACTACCTGCCCACAGTCTCAGCAGCACCGCCACTGGCATCACGCCGTCGGCTAGAATTCTTGTTTCTCAGAAAACGCTACACACACACACAAAATGCCACTGTGCATGACTGCTGACGAAAGGCCGCTAAATTCGCAAATGAACATTTTGTTCTCAAGTTTCCTAACTTTTGGGGATTTTTTCGCAGGTGCCGGTAATGTAACTCAACAAAGTCATGGAAGCCAAAAAGTGACGAAATTATATAAAATAACCCACACCTATACTTTGATGGTGGGGGTTTTTTTTCTTTCGTTGAACTCCTTTCCTTGTGAGTTGATGTCATGTGTTTCAGAGAGATTCAAAGTGCAAACTGTGAACGTGACGGCATACTTAGGGCAAGGGTTTGAATTACTTAAATAGGGGAATAAAATTTAATCTTGGGAATGAAAAAAAAGTAAACATTTAGTGCAGCAAATTTCAAACAGGGCAGGTCTATATATATACTTTTTTTTTAAACATTAGCACTTTTCATAACTTTAAACCCTGACAGAGCAGCTATAAATACTGGACAATGCTTGAATATGGATTATGGATTAAGGATGTTGGCAGGATTAAAGATTTTGGCATTTCCTGTTGAAATCCTTGATGCCAAAAGAAGCTGGTAAATTTAAAGCCCGGCTTCTTTCTGAGATTGATTTTACGTGTGTGTGTGTTTTTATGCTGCACACCTGCTCTCTGACATTTAACCCTCAATAATCCCATGCGGGGTGGAGTGGCAGTGGTTAGCGCGCCGTGGTATGAACCCAGCGATCTTAGTCCAAGTCCCAGCAACGGCTAACATCGGTGGCGGTGGGAAATTTGAACCAGTCCAGGATCTAGCCCCCCTCTAGCCCCCCTCATCCTTTTAACCTTCAGCAATCCACGCCAGCATTTGAATCAGAGGGCAGTGCAATAAAACAGCTTGTTGTATTGTACGTTTATGCTCGCCTATCTATGCTCATTGCCATCACCAAACCAACACGATGTGGTGAAGTATGGTAAATCAACGTTCCCTTAGAATTGGCACAACGCGACAAATAATGTGATGATTGTTTAACTTTTATTATATCACACTCCTGTCATTCTTCGAACAAAACATGCATTGAGGGTTTTATGTAATACCAAAATAATGAATCAGATATACCCTTCATTAGCTCATGATTATTATCATTATCATCTTATCCATTGTCGCTGTCATCAGCAATATGTATTAAAAAACAAAACATTGTTATCAATTTTATTACAATAACCAGAGATGCGTTTACAGTGGCGTTATGTAAAACTAAATTGTAAAGTTATTAAGTTAAACATGACCATGAAAGGGATGGGTTTATCGAGGCACATACATTCCTTGTGCACATATGAACGAGCTCGCTAAGGCTATTGCCAATACAACAGTATTGTGGGAGATGATCTGATATTGGAGTGATTAATCACTGGGGGAGATACATGCTTAGCCCCAGTTTTAAAATAACCATAATCATTCATTCTCAATCCACTGTTGGAGGAATGCCTCCACATTGACGTAAATTGCTTAAAGCCTGTAGTCCATCACTCACATTCACACAGACTTAAATTTTAAATAAGCCACACCATAATTGAATGGCATACTCGGCTGCATATAACAAATAACCGTGATGCTTTATAGAGACTCATGTTGTTCACGGGTTCTCCTATCCTGTCTCGTTTTGTACCGTCTCATACATTTTGTTTTATTTCTACTCTGTCTTCATGAACGCCATCTTAGTAATTGTGCCTATCTCAATTAAACGGTCTAATTTTCATTGTATATATAATTTGTAGGGTCTACTCCACTGCCTGCCTAGTTCGTACTGTAAATGTATACTGTGTATCCAATTCGTACTGTCTGTCTTGCTTGGTTGATATTTGGCAAACAAAATGTCCCTGTTTGACCGGCACAGTCCCCGATGCTCGAACGGCTGTCCTGTAGTCACGAAGCTCTTGTAAAAAAATTGTTTGGATTTTGTCCTGGATACGTATCTGGATTAATGTATGACTCATCATATGGGTGAGAGGTTGGGCTACCTGAGTAATGGGTGTCTCTATGTATACTCTTAGTTCTTTCGGTAAAGTCACGTAGGTAAAAAATGAAATTAAAATGATTTTTATTTTATTTTATTTTTATTATTTTTTATTACATTTTTTAGCTACGTGACTTTACCGAAAGAACTAAGAGTATGAATCCTTGCAGTCACGAAAGCTTCAAATCTAGAATTGTCTCTATGTATGTTGAACTTCGTTCGCACCCTACGTAGCCAATCGTGCTAGTCGGAGGTGCAGGGGGGAATAGCAAACTAAGCACAGGGCGTGTGGTCAGGAGGTTGAGGTCAACATGTGGCACGTGGGCAACATGGAAGACTTTGCCGATTTTTAAATCCTTTACATTAAGTTCGCTTGCTTGCTTGCGTGCTTGCTTGCTTGCTTACGACCGTGCAAATCTTTCAGTCGTTTTTTAACCCACTTCCCGTGATCCAATCGAGCTGACATTTTGCACACAGACTCGTTGTGCGTGACAATTAATTTTCGTGGAAAAAAAGCCAAAAATTTTACACTTCGATTTAAAGCTTTCGTGACTGCAGGGATTCATCTTCTTGGTTCTTTCGGTAAAGTCACGTAGTATGGCTCACAGGGCTATACCTAATAAATGAATTTAAACTGAAAAAAATTAACCCGTAAAAACAAAGTGTTTCACTATATATCCTTTATATGCGTGTTCAATGGGCCACAACCCAGCCCACATTTGTCTTTGAAACGGGCGGCTAGAGTCCTCTCGTCCTCTGGCTTGAGATGGATGCCATCTACGGGTCAGATGATTGTCTGCCACCATTAAGCAATTGGTAATTAAATATAATTTTTTCTTCCTAAAAGGTGTACAATTTTGGAAAAATTTTTTTCACGAAAATACATTGTCACGCACAACGAGCCTTTGTGCAAAATGTCAACTCGATTGGAGCACGGGAAGTGGGTTAAAAAACGACCTAAAGATTTGCACGGTCGTAAGCAAGCAAGCAAGCAAGTGAACTTAATATAAAGGATTTAAAAACGGTGTGGGTAGGGCTAGTGATTGAGTGGGTGTGTCTATGTAACATTGGGTGGGGCTGACAGAGGAAAGGGACTTCCGGTTCACTATACGTTCCAGTTGAGACTCCCAGAAATTGTGTCGTCAGTCTTGTTTGCACTATCTCATTTGCATCGTCTGCCTTGGATTGTTTGAATCGCGTTTTGTCTGTCTCCTGTGTCTTGTCCGTCCTGTCTGTACCGTGTGGTTTGCAGTTCTCAAGTCCGCTTGCATAAACTCTGTTTCATTTTGCATTCTGAATTGCGCTATCTGCCTCGCCTTGTTCTGCCTGTCCTAAGTTTACTGTGTCTTGTTTTTTCACAGCGGGTTTCGGCCAGCCATCGAACAAAGACGGTCACCGCATCGCGCACTTTCAGATGCCCATCTGCGGCCGTCTGGAACGCTGTTCCTTCCGATATTAGGAAGTCACTGGAGCTATGCACTTTTAAACTGTCTAGATTGACAACTTTTTTTTCGAACTGCTTTATTATGTTTAGTTTGTTGTCTTTCTCCTGCACATCTGATTAGCACAGTTGGCTACGTTCAGTGCGGAAGAAGTTCAACATATATACTTACATTGGTTAGCACTGCTTGTCTTGTTTCCATTGCCTGTCTCATATGTATCGTCTCACTTGTACTGACTGTCACATTTACATTCCCCCCCCCCCCCCCCCCCCCCCACAATTTTACTCCAACCTCAGCTTCCTGCCTGCCATCTCCCTCCTCAACTTCTGCTCCCACGTGGCATCATCTTGGATTGATTGTAACTTATTCCAGGTAAACGTTGCCAAAAAACTAAGGTATTCGTCATCGGCAAAAAGCCCTCACTCAGGAAAGACTCCAGTCTGAGTGTTTACCTCCGAAGCTCTGACATTAAAGTGTGGTTGCCACTGATCCCGGGCTCTCATGCATTTCTGTCGTATCTCATCTCCACCCATTCTCTGGCCTCATTCAATATTTCATCTACAAATTCCAGACGATCCAAGAAACTGCTGCCAGACTCCTCACCTGTACCCGTAAACGAGACTACATCACCCCCCATTCTCCACCCTCTACTCTGGTTAAGTCCAATCTTGGATCCACTTAAAAACTGTCCTCACCTTCTTTACGATCCTCCATGGACCCAGCCCTGTCGAGCCCTCCTCCCTCGTCTCACTGCGCTGCAATCCACGCTCTCTGCTCCCGCATCCAATAGTTTCCGTCAAAAAACCTCAGTCAACCTTTGCACAGTGGGAAGTTGTTCATTCTCCTTTGTTGCCACCCATAGTCTGGAACTTAATTCTCCCAGAACATCTGCGCTGGGCCCCCTGTTCCATTCCAGCCTCAAGACCTTCCTCTTTGTGCCGCTGTCGTACCACTGTACCGCCTTTCTCTGTGCAATAAACATCCCCACTGTTTCTGTACAGCGTCCTGCGATGCGGTCTCATTTAGACGTCGCTATGTAAGTCCGCATTGTGTTGCGTTGTAAGTGTCCTTTGCTGGGGGGGGGGAGGGGCTCAGCCTTACATTCACTTTCGCTGTTGAGTTAAACTGGAATGTTCATGATTAACATGTCACCTGAACAGACTTTAACACATGCGATGCGTTCCACTTAGCGCACCTTTCTCTGCTAATGACAAGGTATTAGCATGCTTTAATTACTGCAGTTACGTTAAAGAAAGAGCATGCCAGTCAAAATGCCACTGGAACCACGTGTTTTACATCAACGTGCTCTTTAGTTATACCTTGCAGACGAGGTTAGGAGTTTTGTACCCTTCACAAGCAACTGGATGGATATAAAAGAAGAAACATTGAGTACATGTGCAGTGAGTTCTCAGGGAGACAGACGACGTAGTTGAGGCACACTCTTTTATTTAACCTAAAGGCGGTAACAATACTTGAAGGGGTAACGGCCCCTTCACCCGTACTCAATGGGAAACACCCCTAGCACTATTCCCTGACTCTCCTATTCCCAGTCCTCCGCTAAGAGTGCCATGGGAGGCTATCTGATCCGGCCATGGTCAAGCACGGATCCCGGCACCCAGCTAACCAGGCCGTGCTCTTACAAGAGCAGCGGTCCTGGAGCTATTGGGGCCGCGCCACTGGCTTGCCCTGCTCGGCCCTGACAAGGACAGCGAGCCAGGGGAGTCCCAGGGCCTATTCTGCCGGTCTTCAGTCTTCACTGGTAAGCGTCTAACACACTGGCCCCGAGCCCTCTGGCTCCCTGCCTTTTAAAGGAATCCTCTCCGAGGGGTGGGGCTATGGGGGATCACAGCGCCCCCATGGCCCCCCAGGGTTAACCGATGCGGACGTGGATGTAGACACCCGTGTGCGGGTGCAGACACCGCTGTGTTTCTGTCCGCCTTTCTCCCCGTAACAACCCCTCCACCTGAAACAAATTAGGGAAGAGCATACAAGATATTGGGCCGAGGGCAGCAGTGCAGTGGTGAGCACGCAATGCATTGACCTCGGCTACTACAGTTTGAATCCTGGTCATGGCTAAAATCAGGTGCAAGTCATAGCTGAAGTGGCCATGGGACCAAATTTCCCCAACCCACACTAACCAGTGTGACGAAGTATGCTCATGAAATCCCCATAGCCGACAGAGTGCGTGGAGGGCTTCATCCTGCAGTGGATTGACAGAGGCCTGTTGATGATAAATTTGCTGTATCTGCTAGACATATCAGGATTTTCATCAACTAAAGATATTTAGTAATAGGTTTTTACCCTTTCAACTGGCACAAAAACTGATACCTTTATACAAGGCATCATGTTTGCAATAACCACAACACAAGCAGTCAAAATGCAAACAAAAAGAAATAACTCTGATAATGATATGCACTGTCCTTGAAGTTGATTGGTCCACACCCGAGACAGCTTTTCTTAGAGCCTAGTCTACATTGGTGTTGGTAAAAACCTATTACTATATTTTGCCACTGGTAAAGGAGGTCTCATAGTGTAAAGATATTTAATCCAGGCATTACATTGTGCAACCAGGTATCAATTATTTAAAATGTCTGTAAATTATGCACAAATAATTATTACTATCCCTTTTGAATAATAGAGCAAACACGACAAAAATAAACAAACACAATTTGTATTCAAATTGTGACAATTCATAGAATTGCTCGGTGGATGGGGGTCGTGAGGGTGGGGGTTTGGATGAAGAGGTGAATTGATATTTGCACGTACTTATCGAGATTTTAATTGTCAATAGATTGCACACCTGGGTAATGGAATGCAGTTTTACCTGCTCCAAGTGATACACAATCAAGTGCAGCCACTAATGCCAATGACAATAAACCAAATGCAAAAACAAAGAAGCCGATTCAAGGATATTTCTAGATTTGAGGCTTTCGTGACTGCAATGATTCATATTCTTAGGTTTTTTCGGTAAAGTCACGTAGGAAAAAATTAAAATTAATAAAAGTAAAATAAAAAAGAAAATAAAAATCACGACGTTTCAGAGGCAACACAAGCTTCCGTCTTCAGCTATCATGCTGTGACGGTTGCCTCCGTAACATCGTGATTTTTATTTGATTTCTTATTTTACTTTTATTAATTTTAATTTTTTACCTACGTGAATTTACCGAAAAAACATAAGAATATCAAGGATATTTGCTAAAGAAAAATGCCACCATAATAACACGAATCCCCAAGCCATCTATGAAAACCGAGTGAATCCAACATTAAACTCATCTAACAAATGATTCACATAATCGCAAGCTATCGCTATCGGAAGGTGAATTTAACATCGGCCACATCAGCAAATTAGTCTATCCAATGCTGAAGAAATGGATTACGTTGGAGTCTATGTTTGTCGTATAGGTAAGCGAAGCAGTTGGACAGAGTCCAAATAGTTGTTTCCAAGTGAAGGGTTTGCTCACAGCACTTGCACATGATAATGCCGTGGGGGAGGGGAGGGGGGACAGTAAATAGTGAGTTCTCCCATTCCAAGTTCATGGCAATGCAACTTTGAAGGAAGTCAACAGTCGGTCGGCCGCCGAGGGACCGACTTCTTTTTTCCTGCACCAAGAAACGTGCCATTTACATTTGGCTCGCCATGAAGGCATCGACCACGAAGCACTTCCACGTGCTCCTTGGAGCCAGGAGACACTTACGTCGTGTCGATGACCACGCAGCAATGTCAGACCACCAAAAAAAGTAAAAAATTAACCCGTAGAAACAAAGTTTTTCACTATAAATACTTTATATGCCTGGCGGCTAGAGTCCTCTCGTCCTCTGGCTTGAGATGGCTGCCACCTATGGGTCAGATGATTGCATTGCACCATTAAGCAATTGGTAATTAAATATAATATTTTTGTCCTAAGAAGTGTAAAATTTTGGATTTTTTTTTCACGAACATTAATTGTCACGCACAACGAGTATGTGTGGAAAATGTCAGCTCGATTGGATCACGGGAAGTGGGTTAAAAAACGACCGAAAGATTTGCACGGTCCTAAGCAAGCAAGCGAACTTTATATAAAGGATTTAAAAATTAAGCAAGCAACGCGAGACATTCGTTTTCCTCGTTGCACTGACGCCACACGTCGGCTCGGCTGAATATCCACTTCGTAAAAAACGAATGTCTGTGTACGTGCGTAAGGGATGTCAGGGGGGTAGGAACGAAGATGGACAGTGGGTTAAGGGTCATGGAGAGGATTCTCGCCAAAAGGAGGAGGAGGGGGGGGGTGCAGTGGAGCGGGAACAGTGGAAGAGTGGAGGAGCAGGTGAGGAGGTACAGGAGCAGGTGAGGAGGTACAGGAGGAGGGGGGGAGGTACAGGAGCAGGTGAGGAGGTACAGGAGCAGGTGAGGAGGTACAGGAGGGGGGGAGTGCATCGGGGCATTCTGGTGGAGAACGGATTGGGAAGAGGGCTATGGGCCAGTGTGGACTGGGGGGAAATAAAGGGCGGATCGCCCCCCCCCCTCCTCCTCCCCACCACCAGCCTCGCGTCGACTCTACTTTACATCTGTATACTCTACTTTACACTTTACACTTGTGCTCGCACGCCGAACAGCTGCCAGGTACTGTGGAGCGTGCGCGTGACAACGCCACTCCATTAGGGCGCAAACCTGCCACAGGTGATCAACATTCCAGCTGCACCTGTTCCACGCGCGGAGCCTTAAAACGGTGCCAATTTTAGCGTCACCTTTGCTCTCTGACTTTCACTTTAATGAATCGGCGGTGGCGGCGTTCTCTCCGCACCCGCCGGCGCTGGAGGCGAGAGCCGCGTGGCCCTTTCTGTCGCAAGAGGTTGCCGCTTTTGCGAACGCGGATGCCCGTTGTTGTCTGCCGAAGGTGGTGAAAAGATCGTTGCGGGCAAAACGGGCGCGCAAAACGCGTCCGCAACGTTAGACTCGGTTGTATCCGCCGTTGGCAAATATTCCCCCAGCGTGTGTCAAGCTCGAGGTCGATTGGCCCCAATTGTTGGTTCAAGTTTGCGACCCAATTGTTGGTCCGCGAAGTGTCCGATTTTAAGGAGGAACGGCAGCTTGCCGTGCGAAGCAGCTGTTTGTGTCATACTTGCATTGTCGAGTTCGAGATGATTTATGCAGATACTAAAAAAAAACTGCACGTTTTGTGAGTGACGGCAAATAATTTAGTCCCCACTTTTCATTTGTTTGTTTGTTAAATGATCATTCTCCCCCAAGTAATTGTACTATACACTCTTGGTGTAGCTGGTAGATTTAATA